AGACCTCAGGACCAGGGGAAACTGGGGGTGGGGGGAGTCCCCTGGGTAGGGGGAGGAGCAAGTAGATGGAAGGAACAAGTGTCCTCAAGGGGCTACAGCAAAGCAGTCTGCCGGGGCAGGCAAGTGCCTGGCCTGGCTCACCCCTCCTCAGCCAGCTTGCCCCCAGCCAGGTGCCCTGCCCCAGACCCTTACTCCAGTCAAGGGCCCTCTCCTCTTCAGCTGGGCACCGGCTCCTGAGCCACTCTTGGCTACTGAGGCCAGGCTGTCCAGCCCTTGGGATAGAACCAAGGGTCTGGGCCATAATCTTTGAGTCCTGAGTTTGAGGACCGGGTCCATCAGGGTCATTATGCTCATCTTTCGCCTGTGCAAATGGGGAATTTGAGGACTGGATGGGGGAGGAGGCTTGTCCAAGATCACACAGCGAATCAGAATGGCTGGCCCTAAGAGGTGCCCATCAGCAAGGGCAGGGATGTCACAGTTCACATCACCAGGGTTCACATTCCTGAGGTCTGGCTGAGAGGCAGGCCCTTCATCCTGCTCTCTCCTCTTAGATCTACAATTCTTATCCCCACTGTGCAGATGAGGAAACAGAGGCTCTGAGAAGGGCCATCAGGGCTGTGCTGTCCTGGTAGAGTCCCCACAATGAGGGAGGACTTTGGTGACCCCTGCCTCTTTCCGGGTGTCTAGCATGTGGATGCACAGTGAGGGGTGGGGCAAGTTACCCTCTGGGGAGATGCGTGCAGACTCAGAGGTTCCCCGTGGACCCACACATTCCCTGGCTAAACTGGAATTCAGGCCATGGACATGGAATCAGACAAGCCGGTACCCCCTGCTCGCACCATGGGTCCTGCCTCCCATGGGGCCCACATCCTGCTGGTACTGCAGATGTGTCCTTCTCTCCCCCGGCCTCCCGTGCACGATGGCCCAGCCCTCCTGACCCAGCCTGAAGGACCATCCCAGCCTCTTCACTGCCCTGGGCCTGCACGCTTGCCTTCAGTCTGCCCTCCACTCAGCAGCTAGGTGAACTTCATAGTGACAATGAGACCTTGTCAGCCCGGCTTGAAGCCCTTTAGGGGCTCCCCTGCCCCCTGAAGGTGCTTCTCCCCAGCCCACCACGCCCTGTGGAAGGGCACTGCTGCATCTCCTTTGCCTGTAGCCGTCAGACCAGGGGGGAAGTGTAGACACAGAGGGGGGCACAGGGAGCCCCTACACACACACAGAAGCTACAGGGGAGATGATGCCCCCTGGAGGTGTACAACAGCGCAGCCGTGGGAAGGCAGCTGGCTGCCTGGGCACAGCGGGGAGGAGGTTCTGGTAGGGGCTGGAGTCCAGGGGTTCGTCTGGCCCAGCCAGCGACAACGACAACAGGGCTGAGGCCTCTGAGAGTGCTAATGACAGTCCTTAATGACCATGCCTGGGAAGGGATGACTCCACCCAAGACGCACCTTGGTGAGGGGAGGCTGGAATCAGAGGCAGGCAGTTCCTTAATCGCTATAGGACCTGCATGGGCTTGTCCAGTCTGAGAAATGAGGAGGCCATGTGTGTGCATGTATGTGCATGTGGGGGGGGGGGCCCTCACAGGGCCAGAGAAAGAAGGCTCCCAGCCTGATGAGGAGGCAGGGCCTGGCGAAGACTCAGGGCAGCAGGAAGGGGAGGTCTAGCTTCTACTCTGACTCACTCTATGACATCCCTCTGTGAGCCTCACTTTCCCCATCTGCACAGTGTTTAGGGGAACAGGACGATTCTGAGCCTTCCCAGGGCTTTCAGGTTGCTGGCTCTTAGGAGCCAGATAGGACCGATCCTAGGAGTCCTCTGGAAGGAGGTGAGAGGGCTGTGTCCTGGTGGGGCCAGGAACAAGCAGGGAGAAAGATGTCAAAGATCAGGACCTGGACACACCCCCCGGGGCACCCAGAAGTTAACATATTAACCTGCTCTCTCTAGAGAAACCCGGCTCCTGCATCAGGCCCTCTGGCTTCTGCTGAGGGTTTGGGTGTAGGTGTTGGCATCCCAGACACATCCCTACTGACGCAGAGGGCGGCCCAGTCCAGACATGGTGTCGGGCTCAGTGGCAGCAAGAGGGACGGGGCAGGTTCCAGCATGGGCTTGCTGCCCACCCCCACCCTGCCCCATTCACGAGGCATGTTTGCGCCCTGGGAAGGGCCCTGTGGGGGCGGCAGGCAGAGCAGACCCCTCTTCCGAGGGCTGCCTTCCCCTCACCAAGGCTCAGAGCGGGACCACACTAGGGAAATGTTCATCTCTTTTGTGTTTTTCTCGCCAGAGCCCCTTCAAGGTGACCACTGCACAGTGCTACAAGTTCTTCCCGGTGTCTAGCCTTAGTCACTCCTGCTGTTGCACCTGATTCATTTATCAGAAGACAAGTTGAGGGCCCCATTATCCTGCCACCCAGGCTGACATCACTGAGCCTTCCCTCGGGCATGTTCCCACTCCTGGGACTGCCCAGCCAGCACAGGAAATGGCTGGTGGATGAATGTGCGAGAGAGTGAGTAAGTGGTTTGGATCCTCCCCCCATGAGAATGCTAAGAAGTGGCTAAAAAGTGGATGAGGAGATCTCTAGGGCCTGAGCTGAGATGAAGACAGAAACAGGGACCCAGGGGGCAAAGATAGGGTCAAGTGGAGAACTACAAGACTTGTGGCACAGAGACAAAGCTGAGGCAGCCCCAGAGAGCCAGATGTCCAGGAGCTCAGGGAACATTGGCATCAAGGGCCCCAGCCAAGGATGGCCTGGAACAGGCAGGGCCCATGGGGAGAGAACATGGTGAAACAGGGTGGAAAGCGGGGACTCAGAGTGAGGGTCCACAAGGTGGGAGCCTGGGATCTGGGTGGGGGAGTCCAGAGTGAGCATGGCCTAGCCCAAGGTCAGAGCGAGGGTCCAGGGCCCCAGCCACTTAGCCACAACCTGAACCTCTGTCCCCTGGCAGGGAACCTTAGCCAGGTACACTGCTGAGGTGGGAATTTCTACAGATGAGGACACTGAGAGTCAGAGAGATGACCTGGCCAAAGATTGCAGAGGATGGGGCCGGCCCGGTGGCGCACTGGATAGTGCGCCGCTTGGGAAGCGCGGCGGCGCTCCCACCCGAGGGTTCGGATCCCACATACAGACCGGTTCCTGCTCACTGGCTGAGCGAGGCGCGGGAGCAACGCCGAGGGTTGTGATCCCGTTGCCGGTCCCCGGTCCGGTGCGGGGGCAACACTGACGGTTGCGATCCGTTGCCGGACACGGAAAAAGAAAAAAAAAAAAAAAAAAAAAAAAAAAAAAAAAAAAAAAAGATTGCAGAGGAGTAGGTGGTGGGGTCGGCCCTCTTCATGCACTCCCAAGCCCCCCAGGCCTCGGTTTAAGGAGTTGGCTCAGGAGGTGATTGCTGCTCCCCACCCCATCCTGTGCTTGGGCACACTGGCTCTGCCAGGCACTTACTCGGCCTGTTGAGGGCCCAGCCCCCAGCCCAGCACCCGCGGGCTTCCCCAGCCCTGGGTGAGGGCAGCAAGAGGGAACAAAGGCTCAGTCTCTGCTTGCTTAGGCCCCCACCCCCTTGCCTGTCCCTGGCACAGAAGGACCAGGGCCCTGAGGGAGCCCAAGAGCAAAAGCAACACCCGCCCCTTTGCCAATGCTGTGAAAAGCCCCCACCACACCCCCATGTGGGCCTGCTGGCAGAACAGCAGTGTCTCTCCATTCTAAAAACAGGAGCGCTGAGTGGGAGAGGTGAAGGGCTGGCAGTCACACAGCTGGAATTTGAACCCCAGTCCCATGGTTGGCAGAACCTGCCCTCTACCCCTGTCACAGCCAAGCTGTGAAGGTGGGGTTGTATTCTGGTCCAATTTAACTCACAGGCAGAGATGGGGCAGGGATGGAGAAGGTAGAGCTTCGGCAGCTCAAGGGGGAAAGTCCCCAGGAAAGGGGCTGAGTTTGCCTCACTCTCCGGCCCTGCCCACCCACCTTCCATCTGGGTCCAGGTTGGTGCTGATCACATGGTCTGCTGAAGGGATATAGCCTGAAGGTATACGGCTGTGCCAGAAGCAGAAAGGGGGTAATTGAGCCAGCACTCAAGCCTCCTAAGTCCCTGACTGGGTCTCACCTGATCCAGCCAGAGGTGAGGGAGGCATAAGCCACTCTAGAGCCACCATTTCCCCATCTGTAACATGGAGCTGTGTCACCCACTGGGGTCCTCACTACCCCATGCTGTGGCCACCATCCTTCTCCAGTTCCTCTCCCTGTTCCCTGCTCCATTCCAGGGCCTCCAACCTGGAAGGCCCTGCTCTGTACAAGCCTGAGTGTGGCTAGTTCCTCCCTCGGAGCCCAGACACAGAACAGAAAATGAACACAATGTGCTCATCATGCCACAAACACAAAAGCACTCAGCATCTGGGTGTGATTGGCCCATTTTACAGAGGTGAATACTGAGGCTGAGGGAGGCTCGGGGACCTGTCCAAGGCCATGCAGCTTCTAAGGAGCAAAGCGGGGCTGACCCGCTCCTGGCCCAGGGTTCACAGTCCCACTGGCATCACAGGAACTGCAGGCACGGGGAGGGGTGAGAGGCAGGTAAAATGCAGACTCCCCTCTTCCACCCACAACAGCAGCAAGAAAAAGGGTCAAGACCCTGGTGCTGCTGGGGACTGAGAGACAATATGGACAATGCCCAAGTGGACAGCCTTGGGCAATTCTGGTGAGTCAGGCTCAGCTGTGTGCACTTGGTCCCTGCAGCCTCGGAGGCTCGATGGCAGCAGATGCCCACAGAGAAAGCCCTGATGCCCCCTAGACTGCCAGTGTCTAAGGGCTGGGGAAATGCCCCCCGCCCGGCTTCATCTGGAGGTTCGACTGCTCCCTCCCATCTGCTGGGACACCTCTGACTAGTCTAAGCAGGTACTAGGCAGACCCCAGACAGGACCAGGCCAAGGCCTCACAGAGCAGGCACTGGGATGCCAGTTGACAGCAGTCCCCCCACCCCCAACCTTCACAGGCCCCAAGCTCTTACCACACAACTCACTTTAAAGAAAAAATAATATTTATTTGCAATATAAACAAAGTCCCGTTGCTGGTTCGGGATATATATATGTATGTGTGTATATATATGTAGGGTCACAAATTTTCCTTCATAAGATCATAAAGCAAAACTGGCCACCCTCTGGCATACCCTCATTTACACAAATCTGATGCATCTTTCTGGGTTTTTCTTTTTAAAAATAAAAAAGAGAGAGAGAAAGAGAACCACGTACAGCATGAAAGCTTTTCCTCGTTTTCTCGACTGTGGCAAGATTTTAGTCTGCTGCCCTAAAGAATCCCTGAAAACCACCCCTGTGAGGTAAGATGCAGTGGGGGCAGAGTTTCCGTGGTCTCACTCACATGCTGAGCGCTGGCTCCCTCAGGGACCCCAGCCCGTCTGCTCACCCCTCCCCGGGCCCCCATGCGGTCCTGACATCTGGTAGAACTGAGGCTGGAGAAGAAACAAACTGGAGGATAACGGAATCCGTGGCTTTGTTATGTGGATCCAGAGGGTGGGGTGGGGTAGACAAAGGCTCACCCCCTTCCCCTAGTACATTTTTGCCCCACCTGCCCCTGCCCTAGGGTAGAAATGGGTGCAAGTTTCCTGGTAGTAGAAGGCCTGGGCAAGATGAGAGCAGGGTGGGCTTCCACAGGGACAAAGGGGCTGGGAGTGGCAGCTGGACCAAAGCAGCAGGTGAGAAAAGGATGGGGAGGCAGGGCTGGGCCCCCACCATCTAAGCTTTCCCCAGCTTCTGGGCCTCCACTCCCAGTTACAAACACAGAGAGAAAAGAGACAGAAGTAGTGGGTAAGTATATAAAAGGGCCCAGGGCCCAGGCCCTCCTAGGGGCTGAGCCCAGAGGGCTAATGCTACTGCTTGGCAGTCTCCTATAACCCCACCTCCAGCAGGTCAGCAGCAGGGCCCCCCATCTTCCACCTCACGGAGATCTGCAGAGACCTCCAGAGGGGCAGGTGGGAGGGCAGAGAATGCAAAGACCACCCATCCAGCCCACCAGCCACAACTGGCAGCAGTCACCCCAGACAAATGAGGTGCCAAGTTGGGCTGGGCCAAGGGTGGGAGATGGCATGACTGGGGGTCCCGATACCTGGAGAGCAGCAAGCCACCCCTTCAAGGGCCTGCCGAAGAAACGGAGGCTTCACACATGTGCAAAACGCATTTGGTCAAGATCAACACGGGGTTTGTCTTTTCCATTAAAAAAAACAAAAACAAAAAACCAAACACACCAATAATTGCTTTTTGAAATAGAAAGAGAAACAAAACTGAGAACACTTCTCTCTCTCTCTCTTGCAGGATTAAGAAAGGGATGAAATACTGGTTTATACAATCCATTGTTGCATGTAGCCTGAAAATAACACTTTCTGTTAAAAAAAGAAAAATCAAGAAGAGCTTGAACACTCTCTGCTCCAAGGAGCTTAGATTTATCTGCCAAAAGTAAAAAGTAAACTCAGGTCCATGGATATGTCTTTTAAAAATAGCCAAATTGGCCAGGCCATCAGCAGAAAGGAGTGTCCTGGGACAATGACAAAGCCCCGTTGAACCCCCAAAGCCATGTGTCTGAGAGCCAAGTCCTCTCCAGCAAGTCCTGAAAAAGGAGGCCTTGCCTGTGGACCCTGCCCCCCACAGGATGGTGAAGGGGGCCCGGCCATCGACCAGCCTCGGCCTCTGGGCACAGGTGATGTCCATGGGTTCCTCACACCAGACACAGCAGGCTTGGGACTTCCCACCTGGCCCTGTGGAGTACTGGGGAGGTGCCCAGTGCCACACCCACCTCTGCACCTGGCCTCACGTGGACTCGAGCGTGTTGAGTGGAAATAGGTTGTGGTTGGTGGGTGTGGAGAAGTAGAGCTGCTCACTGGGTGCATGGTTGTCGCATGGGCTGCTTAGCCCCAGCGTCCGCTCAAAGTCCAGCAGCTGCCCCATGAAGTTGAAGTTGGGCGAGATGTTGGACTTTTTCCTCTTGACGAAATCATAGGCATCATTGAGTGACAGGTTCATCTTCTGCATCAGGTAGGCCACGGTGACCGTCACTGAGCGGCTGATGCCTGCCAGGCAGTGCACCAGGACACCACACTTCTTGGAGCGGGCCTCGTCTGAAACACATGCACATGGGTCAGGGAGGTGCCTTCTCCAAGAAGCCTTCCCACATGGGGTTACAGCAGGTGGGGCTGGGACACAGACAACAGCATGGTCACTGGCTGCTGCTGCTACCCAACTCTCAAAAGAACCTGGCCAAGCTTGGCGTGGGTGGGGCAGCAACTTAGGGTAGAGGTCAAGAGCATGGCCATGAAAATGGCTTTGCCACACTCTAGTTCCACATCACTGGACATCCCTGTGCCTCAGTTTCCCCATCTATAAAATGGGCCTACTTACTCACAGTGCTCTCATGAGGGCCTGAGACAAGTCAGCGTTCAACAAACTGTGACAAATGTGTTCACTGCTAGTCCTACTGCTGCCATAACTGTGCACTCTGGCTGTCTGAGGGCATCACCTGCATCCTCTTGGGTCATCTGCACCATGGCCAGTAAACCCATTTTATCAATGGGGAAACAGATGCAGAAACAAAGTGACGAGCCCAAGACCATAGCGAGGCTCCTCCTAACTCACCACCTGCTGCTGCCAGGCCATGACCTGGGGGTGAGGGCTGAGTTGTTCTCTCAGTGCAGCTCACATGGGTACTCCCCAAGAGTCTCCCAGGAAACAGGCCTGAAGGAGGATCCTCCAGAAGGAAGCAGGTGGCCCGGCCCTGCACTCGACTCTGCCCTCTGCCCAGGAAGTCCCCAAGGCCTTGGATAATGGCCACACCTGAGGTTCCAAAGTGGGGTCTGCTTAAGCAGGGCCCACCCCTCCCACTTACTAGGCCTTCCTTCACACTGTGCCACAGGCCCACATGCCAGTGACATCTCCCACTAGAGCCAACTGGATTTGACCAAACCCCCCTCCACCCCCAGCTTCTCCAGTGCCACCCTCACACAGTAGGAGCTCAATAAATACTGGCTGAGCTACTGAACAACTCAGTCCTATAACCTCTCCTCTCCTAGACCCTAGGACAGCTGCCTCTCTCTGTGCCATAGCTGTGCCAGGGACACAGATTAACAAGAGACAACTGTGGGGTCCACGAGGTCCTCACCTTCCTGGTTCCGAACACACCAGGAATCAGGCATACAGCATCCTACAAGATGCTGCACAGGTTCACAAATTGTTCTTCATTGCCTCTGGCCTAATAGAGCTTCCCCTCCCCCCATTCCTGCCCATCCGAGGGTACCCAGGACTAAGCATATAGTAGGTGCTTAATCCAGACTGGGGGCCAGAATAGCAAGGGAGGGGACAGATGTTGAGGCCGTGTGGTCTGACCTTGAGATTTGGGGCAGGGGTAGTAGAGACAAGCCTCTGGTGGTGACACACCAGGATGTGGGGAAAGCCTGGCCCCCCGGACCCACTCCCAGGTGATCTGAAGTGAAACTGTTTCCACTGGCTTTATTTTTAGCCCTTTGCAGGTGTGGCTGGTGCTCGATCCGATCCCACTGAGTCTCATGGGATGATTGGGCCTCAATTCCTTCACTTGTTGAATGAGGAAAAAGGACCCCACCCCCAAATGGGGAGGGGCCTTCAAGGATAAGGGTACCCACAAGACAAGCTCAGCCCTGGAGAATCCAGGTTCCCCGTCTCTACTGCCCTCCCTCGTTGGAGAGCTCAAACACTGAGGCAGCACCTACAGCCCTCTTGGCCATGACCCCCTGGGGCAGGGCTAGGAAGCTCCGGGCAGCTCCAAGTCACAGCCCCTCCCCTAGGCCTCAGCTTCCTTCCTTCCTCCCAGCCAGGCACCTAGTTTTGGTTCCCAGTAAGCGGATGAGGCGGGGAAGCCTCCCACTTCCTGTTATTAAAGCCAGCCCAGCCCAGCCAACACCAAAACGCCCTCCACTGGACATAGCTGCCATCAGAAAAAGACCACACAGGCCACCCCCATCCTGCCACCAGAGGCTAAGCAGAAGCACTGGGTCACTAGGCTCAGAAAATCCAGGGTTTACATTCATCCTGGGCCTGTGTCCCTTCCCCACACCCTGGGCTAGACCTGAGGCCTGTGAAGATGACCTGCAGTCTAACAGCCTCCAGCTGGCCAAAGAGGAAGCAGGATGGGGAGCTGGGACAGCTGAGGCTGGGGATGTAGGGGCCTTAGGGGGCTCTACGGCAGACAACAGGATGCACCACTCTAGGGGAGGTCTTTCTCGGGTTCCCCCCACCTTCTCTGTACACCCCCTATACTCCAAGCAAGCCCCACAGGCTGCTGAGAGCACTGGGGGTCCCATCGCCCCTCTGGGTCACCATACTCCAACAGCTGCCCATTTATGGAGAGGCCTTTGGCTCTATGGTTACCTTTCAGCCCTCTCAGGTACACAGTAAAGCCTAAAGAAGCACTATGACAGCCCCATCCCAGAGAGACACATGTGCCAAAGCGTGATGCAGAGTGAGTGAGACTCGTGGGAGGTCTGTGAGCTGTGATGTTTCAGCTTGCTAAGCCCGAAAAAACAGTGAAGCCAGAAAAACACAAGCAGGACAGCAGAGAGCCCATAGGGTGCTGACAGCTGGGGGTGCCTACGACTCAGGGGACTGCTCAGGCCCTGACAGGTAGAGGGGCCTGAGGACTCAGTGACTCACAGCAGGTATGGGTACACCCACAGACACATGCTGGCACACGCTGAGCACACACAGATCTCGACAGGCCCAGAGGAAACTAGTCAGGCACAGGCGACACCCAGAGTCCCAAACACACCTTGATGCACCCACCCATCCACCCTGCCCAGTGCACAGTAACACCTACCAATGAAGCTGATGGCCTCAGGGAAGAACTGGGAGAGGTTCTGGCTCCAGTGGTCAGAGATGGGGATCTGCTTATAGGTGAACTCGCCGCCATGCTCGAAGGCATTGGGCAGGTTGGGTGTGACATTGAGGATATACTTGATGCCGTACTTGCCGAGCACGTCCAGGTTGGTGGAGTCCTTGGCGCAGCCGAGGTAGAGGTAGGGCAGGATCTGGACGGGGAAGGCTGGTTGGCTGGATGGCACAGGGCTGCCGTCCGACTCAGTGGCACTGCTGGGCAGCTCTCGGTCTGACTCGCCGTCCGAGCAGTCAGAGCTGATGCGTAGGCCCCCCAGGCCCAGCACTGAGGTGGGTGGTGAGCCACTTGGAGAGGATGAGCTGTCCACGTTGGTCTCGCAGTGCTCTGAGTACTCCGTCTGGAACTTGTTGAAACCACCTGTGGCCAGAGGGGAGAGGGGGCCTGAGAGGTTGCTGAGAGCCCAAATGACCCACATGAGACCAAAGATGGCCAGGGCTCCCCCTGTCATACACCACAACATCAATGGTCAACATGGGCCATGCCAAGTATGTACACATGTACCCTTCTATTGTGTTCTCTCCATCTAAACTATGACCACTTCACAGATGTCAAAACTGAGGCCCCAGGAGGTGAATCAACATGCCTGAATTCCGAACCCTTAGCCATAACACTTCAGGGCCCCTGGCCATGTCACCAACTTTAGGGCACTTGAGGACAGGCCCCAGCACACTCCTCATGTGCAGCTCCCACGCACACCCAGCATCTGTGGGTGCTAACAGCTAAGTGGTAAAGAAAGGAAAGCAGACAACCTCATCTCAGGCCGGCACCTGTGGGTTGGCAAACCCCTCTTACAGGTGAGACCACAGGGGCAAGAGCCACATCTGGGTCAGTCAGAGGTAGAGAAGGCCTGGGCCTCCTGACTGGGAGTCTAGCCGTTGTCCATCCCTCCAACCACAGTTGGGGAGGCCCTGTCCCCCAGCAGGGACAGATTCGTAAAAGGGCCTCAGCTCCACTTCTCCGGTGCCCTCCATGAGAAACAAGGCCTCCTCAGCCTTGGACCCACAGAGAGGGAGGGCCACTGGGGCTATACAGGGACAGGAGAGATGGGGAGCGCCTTGCAGCTAGGTATGGGCCCTGCGCCCGAGGGTGCCGCAGGCCTCCCCTCCCCTCGCACCGCCCTGCTGCCAGCGAGAGGCCATTTTGGAATGTTAATTGGAAACACCGGCGGCAGCCACTCGCCCCCCGGCGCTGCCTCCCCCTTCTACAAGCTCTGAGGTGGCAGGCTGGGGACCTAGGGGCCCCAGGAGACCTGGACCAGGACAATGGACATTGCCTACGCCCCGCCTCAAACGCCTCCAAGAGGGGGCAATCCTGGGGTGGCAGGAACCTTGCCGGTATCCCGGAGACCCCAACCCAAACGGTCCCCATGCGCCCGAGGCACGGATAGTGCTATAAAAGGTGACCTTCCTGGCCCTGACCTTCTAGGCACACGAAGTCCAGGCTGTTCTTCGGTGCCCTGCCGCTTTCGGGGTTCCAGGAGATGGCCCCTCCCTTCTCTGAGGGACTCAGCTGGAGCCTGGGCGTTACTGTCGCCCCATCAACAGGAAAAAAAATGAAACCCCAGTCGGGGAAAAGTTTTTTCCGCCTACTCGAGTCGTGCCGAGAATGGGGGCGTTGAGGGGGACCCGCGCCTGCCCAAACCCACTCCGTGGGGGCCCGGGCTCCCAGGAGGGCAGACAAGGGCCGGGGACGACGTGGCGACCCGCCGGGCAGGCAGAGCGCAGGGAGAAGAAACAGCTTCCAGCGGGGGCGTCAGAGAGCCGGGCGCGGGCGGGGGGAATCCTGACCCCGTACGAGGTCTCGGTGCTGCCCTCACCTTGGAGGTAGTAGGCCTGACAGCCGTCGTCGCGCAGCTTCTGCAGGAGCAGGCCGAGCACGGAGGCTGGAGCCCCAGGCTCGGGCTGCCATTCGGCCGTGGCTTCGTCGTAGAGCAGCACGGTGGCCGCCTTGCAGCGCGTGGCGAAGCGCTCCTTGTCGGCGTGATTGGGGATGATGGAGCGGATGGGCAGGTTGCCCTTGCGCAGGCGGCGCAGCATGAGGCCCGGGATGGCCAGGTTGATGGCCGTCTCGATGTGCGACGACTCGAAGAGCTCGTGCGGCCGACAGTCCAGCAGCAGCAGGGACGCGCCGCCGCGC